GACTAAAGGGGGCACCGCTCACTGTGGGCAAAGCCGTCCTACATCAATTGACAATCAGGAAATGCCCCACAGATGTGCCCACGGGCCAACCTGATGGAAGCAGTCCCTCAGTTGAGTGACAACCACGATCAGCCATCACATAAAGAAAAGCTTTTGAGGGGCTGGAGAGATGGCTCAGCAGTTAAGCACCATTGGCCGCTTTTCTAGAGGACCCAGGTTCAATTCCCAGCACCCACGTGGCTGCTCACAACTGTCTATAACTCCAGTCCCAGGGGATCTGACACTTCCACACCAAACCACATAGAATAAAATGAAATATTTTTTTTAAAAAAAGAAGAAAAAACCTGAAGGACCCTGTCATGACAGAATAAAAATCCTCTTGCTTTTGCATCAAAAAAAAAAAAAGAAGAAGAAAACCTTTTGAAGACAAAGCAAAGATATTCCTGCCTGATCTAAGTGGGAGCCACCATAATGAGCCCCTCATAAAAACAGAGGCTAGGGGCTCTAAGCCCAACCCTTCTAGATAATTCTATCCCTCAGGGTAAACACATGTTACAGAACAGAGAAGCTGACTGAGCACACTAAACCCACCCAGGCCAGAACCCAGGTCTACTGCATAGGTGAGGTGAGGACCCAGGAGTCCAGTTTGCTACAATCCCGTGTCTACTCCAGCGTACACACCGGGCTGAAGATGAACCACAGGCATGTTGTTCATCAAGCATGTGCGCTCAGGTGGGCAGGCCCATTGCCCAGAGGCCTCTCGTGAGCTCATTCTCCTCCAACACGCTTGGATCAGACTTTCACCTCTGACAAGCCCAGAAGATGCCCCATCTGTAGGTCTGAGGACCATGCTCTAGGAGCAAGGCATAAGCAACGGGCAGCAACATCCCTGCCCATTCACCTAGGCCTTAATAAACTTGATCACCGGGCCTCAGTGTCTCTGAGCCAGGCACCTGTTCCCCACTTCAACCCCCAACTCTTCACCTTCCTCAGTCTGTTGATCTCAAGGAAACATATTCCTCTCGTCCCCTCCAGTTACATGATGGGGAGACCCAGGGCCCGGAAGTAAAGCTCCTCACCCAGGAACAAACACAGAGTGAGCATCTGATCTGGGGACATCTAAGTCTCCATCTGTCCCCTGCTCAGCTGCATGTGCCAAGCCCAACAGTGGAAAGCTATGAAAGCAGCCCTGGTCCAGGTCAGGATAGGCCCTTAGGGACCGTATGCAAGCAGATGACGGTGAAGACACACTATGCTCCTTTCTCCCTCAGGACTCCTTGTTCCATAAGCATCCTGTGTCCCATAGACAGGCTCCCAAGCCTGGGCTCTGAACGGTCACTGGATGCTTACCACATCCAGCTCTTCATTCCTTCATTCCTGGACCTGGCTTTCTCAGTCCCTGACGGTATCCTCCCAGTACATTAACACAGGTACTGACCTCCACCAACATCTAAATAGATGTCAGTCAGGCGAGTCCCACTAGCCACATGCTCTGGTAACTCACATGTCCCTCTTGGTCTTCCTAGACCTGGACATCAAACAGCCCCCTCAGCCTGCCCTAATAACCAGCTGTCAGACCACCAAAGCCAGCTGCCTCCCCCTCCCCAACTTCCTGTTTTTCTCTTCTGCCTCTTAGTCCTCTTCCCTGTCCCGGTTCCTTTCCTTCTCTTCACCTGGAAGTCAGAAAGAATAGGAATCCTAGGAGGTAGCTGAAAAGTGGTCTATTTCCCTCCCCTCCATCACACACATGCACACACACACACGCACACACACATGTGCACACACACCAGGTCTGGTCAGAACAGGCTTGTTCAGCCCTTCCTCTGGGCTTTACCACCCTCAGTCAAGCAGACCCAGCTCCCTAAAAAGAAGGGATGGGGTGTGTCTCACAGCACATTTCTCTCCCTGCTCCCTTGAATCTCTGTGTGCCCCAGTTTTCCACGTGTTCCAGCACTGTGATGTGTCCCAGAAGTTTAACATACCCCAGAACTTCCATGTGCCCCAGAAATGCCACACAGCCAGAACCCGTGTGTCCTAGATCTCTCTGGGCCCCAGAATCTCTATGTCCCATAACAATCACATGCTCTAGAATCTCCACACACCCCAAAATCTCCATGTGCCCCAGATCTCTGAAAACTCCAGGATCTCCAAATACCCCCAAGAACTAGAGTGAACTCTAGAATCTTTGCCTGTACCCAAATCCTACCCGACAACTCACCCAAAGACACTGATGGGGGGAATGCCCCAAAAGTGGGTCGCTGCCACTTAAACTGTAAAGTTCTCAGGAACTGAATCAAAGCAGAAACCCATTCTGGGTGGTTCCGTTCGGAACACTTGGGCCTGTGCATCTTTTGTCTCGGTGACTTCCAGATGCTGAGAGATGATAAACAGCCAAACAGATGCATTTCCTAGAGAAAGGCCTTTTGTTGTCAGTCATCTGGAAAGGAAACCAGGCCCTCTCATCCTCCATGGAATGAGCATGGCCAGACTGTGGCCCAAAGGCCATCTGGGGGGAGGCTGCGATTTCTGGGCAGCTCTGTCCCCTGTGTCTCTTCCTTTTCTCTAACGGGAGTGGACCAAATGCCCTCCAAGGCCGCTCCAGTACTAGAACTTCCATGGCTGTGGAACCACCTCCTTCAAGACCTTACGTCCCCAGCACTGCTTGTCACCCGCAGTGTGACAGGTGACACACCGGCATGACACTATTACTATATCTCGTGATGAAAACTGTGGTACCAAGGACTGGAGGCATGGTTCGTGGTTAGGACACTGGCTGCTCTTCCAGAATACCAGGGTTCAATTCCCAGCATGCACACAGCAGCTCACAACCGTCTGTGATTCCAGTTCCTAACACTTTCACACCAATGCACACAAAATAAATTTTTTAAAAAGATCCAATAAAGGCATAGTTTTTAAATTGTGGCACCATGTTCGCAGTCATGGACACGCACAGGGCACGCATAGATCCCGGGGTGCTCTCTGTCACGGTGCTGTGAGGGCACGTGTACCAGACACAGGCTCTGCTTTACATGAGCAGTTTGGTTCCACAGCATAGAGTGACTGACCTGAGCTGAACTGAGCAAATCAACCAACAGAGCGATACTCCACAGCTGCGCTCGGGCTGCAGCTAGGGAAACTGAGGCCAAGAGCCAGTAAGTGGACACCTGCTGGATGCCTCGTCCCAGAACCCTGATTAAAGGTTTCCTGTGAAGGACTAGAATTTCAAGGAAGCCCCACACGCTCTCCTGATGCTGCTCTCTGTGGTGACCAGGCCCCGACTCTGTGCAGCCTAACGACAGTTCCAGACATCACGGTCTCAGCAGAGCACAGTGATCCTAGTGATCCTAGGAGCCAGGGAGCTCAGCTCCTCCATTCCAGAAAGTAGACAGCGCTCAGACCCCACCTTGGCCAGACTGCACGTGACAGTACACATTTCACCTCTGACTCTTGGTCTGGCCAGACTCACACCAGCCAGGTCTGTGAGAAGCTGAAACTGACATGCCTGGGCCCTGGGTGAGGAGGATTGGCCCTTGGGGACAGTGACCCCGGGAGACCAGGACTACTAATGAGGATTTCATGTGGCTTCTGTATGTTTCCCAGTTCCACAATGGAAGTAGTCGGGAGAGACATGGTTTCTTTCTAAATAAACTCGGGACCTTCTTTCCTCTAGACACCAAAACGCCCACCAGAGCAGCCTCGCCTTGGAGGCTTGCTGAAATCCCAAGACAGCACACTGACTTCTGAAAGAGGCCACAGTCCCAGTCCTTCAATGTAAAACTCTACCACAACCTAGGCCCCCACTCTAGAGCATGCAAAACAGCTCCACTCTGGACACAGAGACCTCGTCAAGTCTCCCCCACCTTTGTCCCAACTCCCAGGCCACACCCCAAGTCATCAGTGCTGAAGAAGACACGGCAGACAGGTCCACCTTCATCTAACAGCCAAGGAGGCTGAGCCGGAAGGGAATGGAAAATATCCTAAAGGAGCCAGGGGCCGCGGCCCTGGAGGACAGACCACACACACCCTCCTGCCAACAGTTTTCCTCCCAGCTCTGGCCAGGCACTGGACTTGTCCAGCAGCTCCAGCACGGGCAAACTCTCCCACCAAAGCCCTTACAGAGGCACACACAAACCCACACAGGCGCAATCATGCACACTCAGGGGCACAGACACATGCATACACGCATGCACGCAAGCAAACACACATATGTGTGCATGTACCTTCTTTTGGTTTATTTGGTTTTGGTTTTTCAAGACAGAGTTTCCCTGTGTGGCAGTGGCCAGACCAGGCTGGCCTCGAACTCACAGAGATCCGCCTGCCTCTGTCTCCCTAGTCTGGGATTAAAGGTGTGCACCACCACCACCTGGCAAAATATATTTAGCCTTGTGTAACATCTTCAGTAAAATACTTCTTTTTTTCTTTTTTAGTATTTCTTTTTAACAATATTTTTATTCTTTAAATTTTTATCTATGTATACAATGTATTTTGATCATATTCACCCTACTTCCTCCAGCAAGCTCCCCCCAGACCCCCTCAACATGTCTCCCTACCAACTTTATGCCCTTCCCACCCCTTTCAAAACAAGCTTAATATTTATCTCATTTCTATTTTGTGAGAGCAATGTTTCTCCCTGAGTCCTGTTTTCTCCCTGGAAAAGGATTCGGAATTCTAGCCATCCGCACCTGTGTGCCATGTGCACCGGGCAGAATGGGAGGCTCACTACCTCACCAGAGACCCTTGCTAGTCACCAGGCCATCACAGCCCTGCAGAGGACCTTGTGCATTGCAGCCCAAAGCCTTTTCCCTCAGCTCCCCTAACGGTGGAGGAGTCATGAAGACCCTCAGCAAAACCTGCCGGCAGCGCTGGAGTCAGTGTACGCCCTTTCCAAACTCTGGTAAAAAAGGAAGGAGTAACCTAGGCTCGACGCGGCAAGATGAGAGTCCTCGAGCGTCCCAAGGCCCCGAGGGGACGGAGCGCTCCCAAACAAAATGCCTCCTTACCACAAAGCAGCAGTAACAGGGGGAGAAGGTACAGCTGCCGCACGGGGCTCTCCATGGCCAAGTAGGATGCTCCCGGCTTGCAGCAACGCTCAGAGGTAGGAGACTTGGGGCAGGGCCTGGGTGGGGTGGGGTGGGCGGGGCCTGAGTGGGGTGGGGTGGGCGGGGGCTCAGAGAGCCCCATTCTAGGCCACGCCTCCACTCCGCCCCTGACTCCATCGGAATCCAGAAGTAACCTAGAATCCTGAGTCTTCCTCTAGAGGGACAGGTGGTGGGGACAGATGTGTGGGCTGCGCGTGGGGTCTGGACTGAAACGGAGGAAGAAAGAGTGGAGTCGCGCTGGAAGACCGAGTCCTGGGTGACGGGACTAGGAAAGGGGTTCTGGCCGGAAGACTACAGTTTCGGCTGGGAATGAACGGGGTTCAGACCTTAGAGTCTAACTGGGGAGCAAGCTGGGGAAATGATGGGATACCGGTCAGGTTGATGGCGGAGGCGGGTGGGGCAGGGCAGGCAGAAGATAGACAAGAGGCTGAATTTGGAGAAACCTGGGGTTCAGCCTTGCAGGACACCCGTGTTTCCTGTGGGACCCCTGTAAGAGAAGCACATAAATTTAAGCAGACACAAGTTTGAGAGCACTGTCTCCGAGGGACAAGGAAGGGCATGAAGTGCGTTGCTGAGTAGATGGGAGACTGCGCTGCCAGGCTGGGGGCGGTGCACACGTGCAAACACAGATGGCTAAGCCAGATGCAAACTGAAGGCAGGTCGGTGACCCCGGCCCTCAAGGACCTGACTCCTGGAAAGAAGAGGGCTTTAATTCCTCCCACCACGGGTCACTTAACCAAAACAGAACACACCTGTCCCTCTCGGCCCCAGAACAGCTTTCTGATTGCCAGTGCAGGGACACAGACAAGAGAGCCCTTTGCCCTCCAAAGCGCTTACTGTTGCCTTAAAGAGCCCGTGCCAGTCTGAGAGCTAAGGCACACACCTGGGAAGGTGGCTTCCCCACCTAGACAAGCACTCCCCTCTCTAGGCAGCAGCTACTGCCCCCATCACTGCGCCCAGCGGATCTTTCCTGACCTAGAGGGGCTCACTTTACAACTTTCTGTGAGTTTTCACCAAGAATATTCTGGTGGAGCCGGATTGATTCAAGGGAGACAATGCATGCAAATTTAAAAACAAAAACAAACAAAGAAACACTTTAACTGATTTAGGACTGAAGAGATGGCTCAGTGGCTTAAGAGCACTTGCAGAGGGACCTGAGTTTGGTTCCTAGCATGCAGGCGGTCATCTGCAACTCCAGCTCCATGGGATCCAGTTCCTCTCCCCTGGCCTCTGAGAGCACAGCACGTTGTGCACAACCATACATAAGCTAAATCAATCTTTAAGATTAAAAAAATTAATAATATTTTGAAGCAAGGTGGCAGTATTTAATCCCAGCATCCAGGAGGCAGAGGCAGGTGGTTCTCTGTGAGTGCGGGGCCAGCCTGGTCTACAGAGTTAGCTCTAAAACAGTGAAGACCAGTCTGGAAAAAATAATAATAATAACATTTCGAAGAGGCCAGTTAGCAGAGAAAGACTAGGACCTCTGGAGAAAAAAAAACAAAAACAAAAACAAAAACCTTCAGCCAGGCGGTGGTGGTGCACTCCTTTAATCCCAGCACTCGGGAGGCAGAAGCAGGCAGATCTCTGTGAGTTCAAGGCCAGCCTGGTCTACAAGAGCTAGTTCCAGGACAGGCTTCAAAGCTACAGAGAAACCCTGTCTCAAAAAAAAAAAAAAAAAAAAAAAACTTCAATTAAAATTCAAACTGATTTAAATTATCAGTCACCCTGCTTCTGCCTGAGGGAATGCAGGACAGTCTAGAGGTGCCAACATCCAGGCCTTCCACCCAAAGGTGAGTGAGCCCCTCCCCTATGCTGAGGGGGCACACCAATCAGGCCACCCCACATTCCAGCAGCTCACATTTATGGAGGACGTTCAGGTTGGCTGCCCCACAACAATCCCCACCAGCCTGACTGTGGCTCAGCAATGGTCAGCATATGGCTCGGGTGGGCCTTCAGAGATAGCACCTGAGCACTAGCTACCTGTGGGCACCAGCTCAGGGCAGCTGACGTGGCTTCCTGAGCCTGTGCAGGAAGTATTCTCTGACTCTACTGCGGGGAACCCTTGTCCAGCCCACAGAGGTGAGTCACAACACCTCAGCTCCACACCCCCCGACACCCCCTCCAGGACCTCTGTCTCCATGTCACTTCTGCAAGACAGAGTCTTCGCCTTACTTCTCAGCCCATGGCCTCCCAGCGTAGGGCTCTACTACCTACAGGCTGTGAGGAACAGTGCCATGAGAGCCAGTGCCTTCCTGGCATGGGGACACCCTGCCCTTCCCGTCTTTTCCCTCCTGGCCCCATATCCTGGCTAGGCTGCACATGTGGCCCATTTGCACAGACCTGTCTCCTTCACCCAGTCACCTGCTTCTCTCTACCTGCTTCTCCAGATCCTGCTAGTCTACATAAAGCCCAGATGCTGACCTCTGGGCCCCAGCAGTGTCAAGAGAGGGACCCAGGACATGCATAAGCCAGGGACAGTCAGAGCCAGGCAGTCCACCCTCAGAAGTCCCATTACTGTAAGACACAGGGATGAGACATAGAACTCCCTCTCAGAGGATGGTGGCACTGCAGAGAAGCAGGCTGGGGACACGCCAGGGGATCCGTTACTGTCACAGACACTCATTGTGCGCCCACAATACCCTGACCCCTGGCCTGAACCAGGCATCTCTGGGGGCTGTGACCCCCCTCAAATTCAGCAGCAGAAAGTTCTGGAGAGGCCTAGACTGAGAATAAACAGTTTGGAACCCTCATTTACTTGCTCAGTGCTTGACAGAGCTGACTTCTAGAGAAAACCCACTCAGGGGGCAGATGCTCTGTAAGTGATGAGGATGCTGGCCATCAGCTGAGACCATCATTCTGAGGACACAAGTTAATCAATGAGTAGTCAGTCCTGGAACATTAGGCCAGGAGCTCCTGGAGCCATCCCGGGATAGGGGATCCTACAGTGGCTACTGTACCCCCTGTGTGCCTCTCAGTTCTTCAATGGGGCCACAAGAGTCCAGCTGTTGATCTTACAGGAATGGCCACTCCTCACACATCTGTGTCTGGGCGTCTTTACCTCAGGTTCGTCAGGCTGAGCCCTCCCGTGTCTGCATCCTGTGCTGCATGCTCCACCATCATTCACAGTGCTTTAAACCAACTTCCCAATCCAAGTCACTGTGCCCAGTCAACTGATCTTACTCTTCCACACTCGGCTCTAAGAGGACCAGAGAGTGTCACTTTTCCACCTGAAAGAAACACACAACTACCTGGCACTCTCGCTGAACTAGGACGTGTCTGCCATGTCTTTACACACACGGGCGCATGTGTGTGCATCTCGCACACGCACGCACGCACGCATACACATTGCACACATAACACATATAATCCACACACAACAGACACACACGTACATGTGATATACACAAGTACACACATACAGTACAGACATCATGCACAAATACACACACATCACACACGTACTCAAGGAGCATGAAATGAATTGAGATTTCATTTCTTCCCAGGCATGAGAGTGCCTGAGAGACATTCCTGATCATTTGGCGCCCCCTGCTGGAATAGCATGTAAATAACACGGCCTCTCACTGTCGATGAGCTGACACACCTGCAGAAGGAATTCCAGAAAGGAACGTTTCTGACCCAACCCACAACTCGATAGCCAATTTGGTCTTCTTTTTAAAATGTTTTAATTAAAGCATATTAATAGTACATATGTATGAGGACATACATATTTATGTCCATTACGTAACACAGTGTGTAATGATCAAGCCAAGGTAACTGACCTACCTAGTGCTTCAGACAACTGTCATTGCTTTCTGTTAAGAACCTTTAAAACCCACTCTCCTGGCTACTTTGAAATATTCATTTTCTAAACCTGGTGGTGATGGCGCACGCCTTTAATGCCAACACTCGGGAGGCAGAGGCAGGCGGATCTCTGTGAGTTCAAGGCCAGCCTGGTCTACAGAGCTGATTCTATGACAGCCACAGAGAAACCCTGTCTTGAAAAAAACAAAAGAAAAAAGAAATGTTCATTTTAAATTACTTTCAATCTTAGGAAGGTGATGCTGTATTAGGAGGGATCTGGAGAGATGGCTCAGTGGTTAAGAGCACTGGCTGCTCTTCCAGAGGACCCGGGTTTAATTTCCCAGCACATGGCAGCTCACAACTGTCTGTAACTCCTGTTCCAGAGGGTCCAACACCCTCTTTTGACCTCTACGGGCACCAGGTCCCATACTCATGCAAAATAAACATATATTAAAATTATAGTCGAGCATTAAGAAACTTATCCTGCCTGCCTGTCATAGTTTTGTAAACTTGACACAGACCTAGTTGAGGAATTTAATTGCCCCCATCAGATTGGCCTGTGGACATGTCTTGCTGGTTGAGGAGCCCCGCCCACTGGTATCCCTGCGCAGGTGGGCCTGGGTTAGATAAGAATCAAGGTACTAAGCAGTCTGTGAGCAGCGTGCCTCCAAGGTTTCTGCTCCATGTTCCTGCCTGAGTTCCTGCCTTGGCTTCCCTTGATGGTAGACTATAAGCCTGTAAGATGAAATAGACCCTTCCTCCCCTCCTCCCACATTGCTTTTGGTCATGATGTTTATTGTGGCTACAGAAAAGCAAACTAGACTTCTACCACCCAAGAGCGCATACACCCAGTAACCCGCCTCTGTAGGAATCCCTAGTCCTGCCTCTGGATCCCTGACAGCAATGTTATTTCATTTAATCTCATACCCCGAGTTCTGCCCCTGCTGCTGGGCTGCAGAAGCCTGTGCTCCTTATGGCTGAATGCCAGTCTGTTGTTAGATGAACCACATTTTCTTTATTTCTGTGTTGGTGATTGACCCCCCTGTCTTGACCACGGTGGAAAGGTGTGGCACCTGCACCACCTGGAACCGTGATGGGGCAAAGGTCTGGGAATTAAAAAGCACAGAGAGACCTGGGTCACTCTTGAAACAAGAATGACCAATTTATTGTGTTCCAGGGCAGCTTATATAGGGCTT